GTAAAAATTTCATGGTTTTTCTGATTTTAATTTTCTGAAAGGTCATAATTCTTAATTTAATGACAGAATATTTTCCTTGTGATTTTCACAACTATAAAATACCTTTGAAAATTCGACTATCGTGACATTAAATATTTTAGCTTAACAACTTTAACAAAATTTATTTGTATTTATTATTTTATGTTCAATTGTTGGTTGTTAATTCTCTCTTTGTGTCATGACAAACACCTAAAGTATAGTTTGTTAATGTAGGATAATTATCAATGAAACTTGAATATTGAAGAAAATACATTAGATACATCGAATTATAAAAGATAAAAATAATGTCCATTTCACCATTAAAACAACTTTTTTCTCTTTTCTCTCTCTCTTTCATTCCTTTATTTTTTTATTTCGATTTCACTGAAGCAGACATGAAACACCTTATAGTGTTATCACTTCCACTATCTTCTCTTTCTTTCTTATTATTATGTATGCTTTCTTTTTCTCACTAAAACTGACGGTGTCTCTGATATATATTTTTCTTTCATCTTTTCTCCTAATCAAAGCAGAATTTTCCATTATTTATCTGAGGTAATGGCAGGGCATATAATGTAATTTTTAATTTAATAGATATTTTATTATTAAGTCTACCCATCCTGTCAAAATTGACGGCAAGAAGAAATGTATTATAAGTAATTTTTGTTTAATCCAAGTACAATTTTGTAATTTAAAATAGTTTGTTGTTAACATTAATAATTGAACCTTGTACAATTTATAAACATCTCAGGAAAGATATTCTTATTTTATCCTCATAAATGTTACATATTTACATCCAAAATTTTTTTTACTGCAAATCTTCTCAAAGCACAATATTCTCTCTCTCTCACACACACACACACAAAATAGAATTTACTTCTTACTGTGAACTGTGTTGCTGTTTGGGGCAGTCTCTTTGTAGTTTGTCAGCATGGTAGCTTTTTCTGTGTAGATGTGAATGGGGTTTTGACTTCTGTGTGTCTCATGTCAAAATTTTGCACACTGCCTCTCAATTGTTACACACAAAAAAAAAAACTTAAAACTTAAATTATAGATAGATAGATATGTGACATGTTGTATATATATAGATTAATGAAATATTGTGGGCTTTTTTTTTTGGGTGGGGGAGCAAAATAAATGTCCAACAATCCTATAGTTATCAAAAATTATTTTCTTTCTTTCAAACTGACAGTGTCTCAGATATATCTTTTTCTTCCATCTTTTCTCACAATCAAAATTGAATGGTCCATTATTTAACTGAGGTAATAGCAAAACATAATGCATGCACTAACAAACAGGAACAGGTAGAATTATAATTTGAATATATTTGTGGCCAGGTATTGAACTCACAAGCAGGGAATTAGCTGAAACTGAGATATCCAAAAAGACATGGCACATGGAATTAGAACAATCTATCCCATGGACTAAATAAAGAGTTTGGTTCAAAATTCCAATGTATATCACCTGGAGAAGTTTGGAGTGCAAAGCAGCTGAAACATCATGAATAAAGCAATAAAAATGAGGACAACAGCCTGAATGATGTAAATAGTGTAAATAGTTAGATATTATCAAGATAATGTAAATCTTCAGGTGCTCCTGTCTTATCATGTTTCCTACCTGTTAGTTATACATTTGTTGATTGAATTGTATGCTTAACAACATCCCAAAACTTAAAAGTAAACTTTTGTTTTAATTCAATGTTAATGTATAAATAAACCCTTTTTTAATGTTCTGATATAAAGTTTAATTTGGTCTGCTGATTTACAATTGTTCCAAATAGTTAACATTGTAAAAACATAACTACCAATAATCTTTGTGAAGAAAACATTTAAAAATCTATACAAATTAAGATTTGGTAAAACAAACTGTACAGATTTAAATTATAGCAGACACATTATTAGAACATATTCTATTAATTAATTTCAGACAAAATAAAACCTTTTTTTATTGAAAATTATTAAGAAAATGATATCCCTACTGAGTGGATATCAACTTAAAATAAAATTTAATTAATTTATAATTTAGAGAAAGATAAAATTTACATAGAACTTAAAACATAGATCAAATTATTAATTTGCAAAATTTCAGCTTTTAGGCATTTGTACTTTTTTTTTTAAAAATCATTTCACCCCAAGCATGGTGGGAATGCCACTAGTATGCAGGGGGTTAAAGAGAGTGAAAGTGAGAGAAAAGATTGAGTATAGGGTGGATTGAGGAAAGGATAAAAGATGAGTTGGATTCAAGAAGATAAAAATAGCAATTGATGTTGTATTTAAACTTTTGAGGATTGCAGTTATCAGGGAAGTAAGTAAATGGAAGGGAGTTGCATAAGCGGGAATCACGAGAAAAGAAACTGTTGGAGTAGAAATAGTAGTTACATTTAGTTATCTCAACAGTAAACGGGTGGGACCTAGATGTCAATCTAGAGTAGCAGGCTTAAATTCATGTAGTCAGGGCACCAGGGAAAAAAGCTCACCAGAGCTGTTGCCATGAAAAATGTAGAAAAGACAGAGGGAAGTCACATCACATCAGTGAGAAAGGGACTAAAGTCGAGATGCCAAGTCAGGATTGATTACATTACAGATCCTTCTTTGAATTTTCTCAAGAACTATGAAATGAATAGCAGGAGCATATATGACAACAGTATTCAATGCATGGACGAATGGCAGATTTATAAATGTGCACAATGGACTCTGACAAGCAAAATTTTCTGGCACAACACAGAGACCCAACTTTTCTTGCAGTAGATACTAAGTTATTAGAAATTGTATATTCTCCAATTAACACTTTCAAATTGGATTTGGCATATTTTTCTTAAATATTTGCACAGAGCCTGGTGTCTACACCTCGGTCCATGCTTTTAGTATAAGTAGTAGACAATGAATCAAGTAGTAAGTAGTTTCCAGTCACATGTAAACTTCAAAAAAAGAAACTGACCTAAAACATTCTTTGTAAAACACCTTAACAATTCTGGAATATAACATTTTGTATTTGCACTTTATCTGCTTTCTTTTTTTCCATTTTCTTTGTGTATACGTTGAATAATTTGACAAAACCAAGTCTTTACCCCTTTAGGTTAATTTTACAAGAGATGATGACTATTAATACTGAACACTCCCTTATGCATCACAGTATGGGGAGTAATCAATTTTTTTATGGTAGATAGCGTACAGTCTCTCTCTCACACGCACACAAATAGATACATAAATAAATCTCTCAACATTGGTTAAGTGTATGCAGATTACCTGGACGGTCATGAGTTCAGTCCCTGGATCAAGCAGCAAAATCCGTATATTCTGGTTGAATGAAACTAGCAGAAGCAACATCACAAGAACAAATTAGCTAATAAGAATTATCTACAAGTTATCTCCTAGTATTATCAGCTGGATAGGAATCGTCACTATCTTCCATTAAGAGTCCAAATTCAAAATTATGAAAACTGAAGAAGGCTGGACGATACGATAACTGAAACGTTATCAATGAGGATACCAGTTTGAATAAATTGGTGTATAACATTATCATAAAAAAATAAAATAAAAATTTAGCATGCTAAGATTTTTCGGATATTTTTTTTAATATTGATTTTATTTTATTTTTATTGAATTGAACAATAATTTTGCTTTAAAAAAAAAAAAAAAAAGTGAATAGATTACTGAATTATTTATTCTTTTATAATTTATATTTTTTTACTCCAGTAATTGAAAATTTACTTATACGATTTTGACAAAATTAAAAATAATTGGAGTTGGATATTTGAATATTTTTTTTTGTGAAATGACAAATTTTTAGATTCATTTTTTTTTTTGAGATTTTGATACGCAATTAAATTAAAAACCATAAAAAGGAAAAGTTAATATGAAATAAAATAAAGCAGTAAAAAAATTAATAAGATTTTCCTTCTTGAGACGTTTTGGATTTCTCGGATGACGTTTTGCAGTTTGATTCCTATGGGGGGGGGGTCCAATAATTTAAGAGCCAAAAAACAAAACAAACGGCCTTTGCTTTTTTTTTTTTTAACCCCACAGCGATTAAAAGTACTTGTAAAATTATAAAATCTTTAAATACCAGGAGCAACATAAAATAGTAACAATATTATCAGAAATTGAAATGCACAACAGAACAATTATTATGTATGCGTCCGTCATTGGTTTACTTTAAAATTAAAAAAAAATATATTTTTTTTAAAATGACAATTTAAGATTCTTTTTTTGACTCGTAAAAACTAAATGAGACCACGCATGAAGTAAATAGCGGTTTTAAGTTGTTTCTATATAATAAAATTTTCCTTAATTTAATTCTAATCCCCGCTAAACAGTACAGAATTAAAATTATTTTTTCTAATTTGTCTATTGATGGTAAACGTCCTAAGTTATGATTGCCATTGGGGCAAAAATAACACAAGAAAAGGGAAATTCAACAGCGGAAGGATTTAGCAGCCGAATTACACTTAATTTCTTCCGCCCCTCATAACCAAATAGTAAATTTAAAAAAAATTATTTTTTGCACTTAAAAAATTTTTCATATCATGGGAAAACTATTTAAAAACATCTTTCCATATTTTTGCAAAATTACAAAAAATTTGATTAATAAAATTTGTTAATAAAATATTTGAATTATTTTTTCTCGCGTACGTGAACAGTGAAACCACCTATATTACGATAAGCACGTTTAAAATATGGAATCCATAACTTATTAAAATATTTTTTATATTTATTAAAATGTCCGTATTTAACAAAAAGTTGCTTTTGAAATATTATTAATTCTACATGATAGCAATAATAAATACAATAAGTATACGTTAGGTTAAGAAAACTTGTAACAAGATCATGCTTGCATGACAAGATTATTTTTACATCGGGCTTCCGTATTATTTTTAGTGTATCTTTTACTACCAATGGGCTATGTTTTCGTACTATTTCATCTTAGATGATTGTCTGTCTCAACGTGTTTGTACCGGTAGTATTGGATAAATTTTTCTTAAGATTGCGTGTAAGTAAACACTTTTATTTCAGTGGATTTTTTCGATAAAGGCATATTCTGTTCTGTCCTCTTTGATTAGTGGCCAGCCTCAAATATCTATCGTTTTTATATAGCACGACCACTGCTTCGATTTGATTGTGTGATGAATTGTGAAATGCGATGAGGGAGACCACTCTTTTTTGATAAATATAAACAGATATTAAAATTTGTTCTTGATATGCTTAGTATATTTCGAAGCTAGAAGTATTTTTTTTCTTTAAAATAACGATGATATTCATGTGTCTTGTTTGTTTGTTGCATGCATTAGATTTTTTGTCGGCGACTCTGCAGTTGAAAATACTTTAGATTGGTTTTTGTAGTGTCCGCCATGTTGGAATCATAATCGTCGTTGTTATTGGCTTGGTTTATCAGAGACAGAAACGCATTTTCTTCTTGTGCATTTCCCCCTACTTTTTCTGGTTCATCGTAGCTTTACAATCGCTGATACCCAACACAACAAAAAAAAAATAAATTAAACAAATGCTTTCTTTTTTTTTTTTCTCTTCATTTTAAACTATCGATTTGCCGTTTGATGCGTGTTTTTTAAACGGGAATCTACTTTAGTGACCTTCGTTCTTGTCACCCGTTTTGTTATGGCCTTTATGTTAATGAGATAGCCTGGATACAAAATCGGGGATCGGTTTTTGTTACTAACATTATTATTATTATTATTATTACTGTTGTTATATTTTTCAAAGGAAGCTTTTCTTCACTTCTCTTAAAAATATCAAAAAGAAGAAAAAAACTATAGAATTGTTTTTAAAAATGATATACATAATCGGACTTTCAAAATTTTAGTTTGTTTGATTTTGTTATTCCTAATCATTTTTACGTAAAAACCAAAGGTAAACCACCCTTTTGTTTTTTTTTTTTTTTTTGGTTTTTTCAAGTTAATCCAGGCCTACCATCACGAAAGCATTTACATGAACGGATAATTAACGCTTAAAAACGTATCAGGTACTTTGATTTGGAATTAACAGGGCAGGTATTTATTTATTTAAATGTATGTTTATAAGTTAATAGTTACTAAAATCGTCATTCTTTCTTCGTTAACGGAGAAAAATAAAACTTTTTTCTAGGATTCCCTTCCTTAAAAAATTCGTTCGGATTAATTTGTATTAAAAGAGTGACGCATTTTTTTTTTTCTTTGCTTTTAAATATTCTACATTTAGATGTTCTCATAAGAACTTGATTGCGTTGTGAAGTTATTTATACAAGCAAACCAAATGATCGTGTATTCTTTATTAGCCAGGGTTTTTTTTCTCCCTTTCCAACACAGATGGCTTTAAGAAGCTTTTTATATAATATTTAGATTTGGGAATCTATTTCTATCTTATGTGTAAACGGATTGAAACACGTGATATTTTCATTCCTCGTACTCCAATGTTCTGTTTCGGAACAATTTATCAAGTTAAAAAAAAATCTTAAATTGCTGTAGTGTAAGTATATTATTTTAGGTTGTTTTTTTGGGAAAAAAAACTTCTGTAATTATAATTAATATAATAGTATTAAAATGCATTCAGAGTAAAAACAAAACAAAAAAAAAAAGCATATTTCATGAAGTTTTCCTACACATTTTGTGAACGTGAGGTTGCTGTAGGTAGTGTTCGTGTTTAAGTGTCCGACGGTGTGTGATGACATTGCTTTTATTTTGCATAACAACCATTGTAACCAACAATCAATTGAACATATGAAATTTATTTTTACACAGTCCATCATTTCATTATTAAACTTAAAAAAAAACAAAGAAATACTTCGGTCACTATTTGTTTTGAGTGCTGGAATTCAATTAATTGCAAAAGATGACTTCATTGGTTTAAACTAACTGGTATTGAAATATATAAGCTGTGCAATAATTTTGTTTTGAATATTTACAATTTTCATGTCATGCCTTTGTTAAAGGCGTTTTTTTTTTTTTTTGTTCTGATATTGAATTTCTGACTTGTAAATTTAATTTTGTTTAGAAATGTCACATTTAAAAAAAAAAAAAAAACGAGCGTCAAAATTCAGTTTTTATTCTTCGTAAAATTTGACGACGGTCATCAAAATAATAAATTATACATAGATTTTTGTTGAGCCTAAAAATTTATTGAAAATTATACATTTTTTTTTCTCTCTTAAGTGTCAGATTGTTTATTGCACAGCTATTATATAAGTTTTTCAAGTGTATAATACAGAAAAATGATTTTTCAAATAGGTGGGGAACGAAAACATAACTACTCCCCCACCTTTCTTTTCTTTGTTGACACAGCTAAGTACGCTAAATTATTGACTTTTTTTCAGTTTTAGAAATTATATAATGTATTATGTACTTTTGACTTTACTTGCAGTGCAATTTCATAAATAATCTATAAATTTCAATTGAAGTAAGATATAAAAGTTTTTAAAAGGTTGAAATCCATGTTCTTCGTTTGTTATGCATCATCAGTGTTGAAAAAGAAATAGGTCATTCTTGTTTTCTCCATAAAGAGTAAAGACAAAAAGCAAGATTTTCTTTGATTTTATTTTTAATTGTCCTTCAGTTTGTATTTTATGCTAAAAAAATTTTAAATGTGCATTTTTGTTATAGTGTGTGTAACTGCATTTAGAGACGAAAAATTTCTTCGTCTAATTAGGCTATTTACTCGCTTAGTAGTACTACTTTAGGTTTCTTCACCGACCTACATTTCTTTGATGTTTGTAGCGAGTTACTGTTACTTACTTATTTTCTAGAGATATCTGCAATCATTACACACTTCTAGGGATAATTAATAAGATTTTTAGAATCTCTTCTTTTAACTAGGTAAAAATTTAAAAACGTTTTTCAAGTTAGCCATCGTTCTTCGGGTTTTTTTTTTTTTTTTTTTTTTAAGGACTGAAATTTTCTCCTAACGATTTTTTTTCGTATTGAGCCAAAAATTTCGATAAAAGAATTAAGTGCTTTCCTTTTAGACTTATTATTTACAATTAGAATGTTCGATGATTTCAGTGAAGGTGCCTATTTGAAACTTATTCTGTTCTGTTCTGTGAGGAAGTAGAATCTTGACTGACAGGTAATAATACCATACCATTGTTGGGGTTTTATTTTTTTTATGCATACTTTTCTGGAATGGGGGGGAAAAATTGACTGACTCAGTGAACGCACTAAAGAATCTGTTTACTTATGGGAATTGCCGTGTTCATTTTTAACCTGTAAGTCGATTGTTGATTTTGTTGTAACTACGAGCCCTTTTATTAAATAAAACTGCTAGTCAAATAAATAAGTGGGTATCGTGGTGAGAGACAGTAACTTCAAGCCTGTGCGTAGTGCTGTCAGATATTCATAAGTGAATCAGCATTGAGGCTCTGAGTCGGCCTGATTCCTAAGGGTGAATGTCGCCAACGTGATGGAACTAAAATTAAAATGTCCACCAGCTCCAACTAAAAAGAAACTTCGCTGAATCTCATATTCTCACTGTTACAAACATCTTGTAATGGACCGCCTGTTTGTTCTTAACACCCTCGTCTCTTTTTAGCACATCTGCAAGGAAAACCAGTACCAACTCGCTGGACATTTAATCAGCCAAAAAAAAAAAAAAAAAGGTTTTTTTATTGCAAAGTTGGTCGCAAATAAAACGGTTATCTAGCATTGTGATAAATCAAAATAAGCAAAATTGCCGGAAGAGGTTCTGTTGCTTATGTTTTTGGATAAATTTAAAAACAGGACTATCCCAGCTTGGAACCATAGAGGAGGCTTGCCAATAGTTCACACACGCGCATATCGCGAATTTATAGTTGACTTTAAATAAAAATGATTACTATTATTTTTAATTACTGTAGGTTCATCCAACAGAGCCAATATTGCATCGTGTCACTCGAAATCGCTATTTTCTTATTTTACATCTTGAGTGCCCCCACCAAAGGAGGCTAAATTTGTTGAAATGACCGCACCAAGTACTTCGTTTGAAATGTCACGTACATCAAGCCAGGAACACTTTTTTCCGTAAAGTTTTTTTTTTTTTTTTTGCTGCTATAATCAGTGTTCGAGATCAGTAGAAATATTGTAAACTTTTAAACAGTGAAAAACGTATTTGGTATGTTCGAGAGAGTGATTATCGGTGTTTATTACAAAATTACTTTTTTTTATTTTGCATGAAAAGTAAAAAAAATGTTTCAACATCAGATTTTTAGCATACATGGTAGACAATTACTTATTGATTAAAAATGCTTATTATTAATTTGAGATTTACATTTCACTCCGAAATTAACCTTTTCTCGTCTGTACACGACGGGAATTGGAGAGAAAACATTTAATGTTTCTGCGTTGTCGCGCTTTAAAATTTTTAACTTGAAAACAAAAGAAGTAAAAATAAATTAAATAAATAAAAAACATGCTAGAATTCTCCACTAAGGATACATTCAATGCACTTTTGAAATATTCGAAGACAATTGAATCATTGACAATAGAAAAAGAAACATCATAAAAATAAGATAAAAAAAGTTCAACTCTCAAGGCTATCGCGAAACCTTCATTAAAAATATCTAAAGTTGATTTTAAAAATATTTTGATTTAGTAGTACAATGAATATTATTATTACATGCCAGTGTCACAGTTATTGAGTCACGTCACGTATATACTCGAAATCACAAAAAAAATCCAATTGTTAAATTAAATTATATATTCTTTTTTAAAAAAAAATATAATAATGCCTTTTTTAATTAAAAATGTTATAACTGCTCTTCTTACTCAAAAAATTTAATGAATCACATAATGAACAGAAAGGAAAGTTTCATTTAAGTATCATTCAACTCGCATTGCTGCATGTACTTTGAAACTGTACCAGTTACGCATTCAGCCAGGCAAAAAACGAGGTAGTTCCAAAAAATAAAGCCTAAAAAAAATTTAGGCCATAAGGTTTTTCTAGTGAAAAAAAAAAAAATTCATAATCCTCTACGTAAATGTGATGTTTTAAATGAAGATTATTACATGTATATTAGTGGGCTTCATCGAAATAAAGAGGAGTGTTAAACTTTTTTTTCTCTTTTCTTTTCTGAGAAAATCCAGCAGTTGCAGCGGTCGGTCGCTTCTGTTGCAGCTTTACAACAACCGCGCAGTTTAATTCCTACCACCAGCCCATCTATTTTCAGCAACGTATTGTTTCACAGATTAAATACTAAATTTAATGTTCAAATAAATAATTATTTTGTTTCCTTTTACTACTAAGTTACTATAATTTAATGGCACCCTTGTCTTTTTTAAAACGAATTTTTTTAAAAATCGTTTGTCCGTGTAAAAAGTGTAAAATTACTTTTTTTGGGTGACTTTTTTTTATTCTTACAATAACAATAGTCTTCAATAATTTGTTGCCTGTGTTGTACTGGAATCAAATGCCATTTTTGTGTCTCAAAAGTATAACGATTGATTAAAAACTGCAAACATTGAGGCAATGATGAACAACAAACTTGTAAAAAGAAAAAGATGCAACCGTCCCGCATCTGCTGCTCTCTCGTAAAAATACGTCGATTGACACCACTTAAGAGATTTAAATTTAATAAAAGTACATATTTCACAGGATTAATTGTTTATTATATAATTGTGATATTGTTTTATTTTTTTACCATCTTGGTTTATTTATTCTCAATTGTGTTTTCTTTTTACGTTGAGTTTGTTTTTATTATTACTTCGTTAAGAGTTTTAAAAGTATTTTCTCTTCTAAAACGTTTTTCCATTTTTTTTTTTTTTTTTTTTTTAATTTATTTAATATTTTGAAAATTTTTTGAAATGAAAACCGAATTTGAAAAAAAAAAACATCCAAAACTTAATAAATATTCTCCAATGTTCGAGTTTTTTTTTTCTTTTGATTCCTTCTCTCCTTTTTGTTGTTCAGTCAGTTTGCATGTAGGGCCATGGTTGAACAAAAAATGTATTCATTTAGAAGGACAATTACATTTATGCTGAGTTAGACAAATTTACATTTTTACCATGTTATTTTTTTTATTTAAATTATTTATTTTAGCATTCAAAACAAAATGATTTTGTTGAAAAATTGCAATTCAAGAAATTTCAGTTTCTTAGCACTAAAAATGGATTATGTAAGATGGTAAATACTGGGATTTTTTTTTTTTTTTTTAAGTAGAATTAAGATTACCTGTACATTGATGGGGTTGCAGCAAGAAGCTGCTTAGAAAATATTTGAATGTTCATTTGTATTATACCCTAACATGAAATTTGTTCTTAAAATGTTTGCAAAATATCCAATATATTTTTTTTTTTTTTTCCTATTTCTGAAATGGCCATTTCTTATAATTAAAGTTATTTTCTTAAATATATGATAAAAAAGTGTTTTGATTATTAGATCATTTTAGCACATTAAAAAAAAACAAGTTTGATTTTTTTTTTTTTCTATTAAATTTTTCCTATATGTTTTATACCTACTTATTGAAGAAAGAAAAGTATCAATTAATTAAAACTGAATCATTAAAGTTAATGTAGAAAATAAATTACAATAATTGGGCTCGTTTAACTTACTGTAATTTTTATCTAATCTGACAATACCGTTTATTTTTATAAATTAGCTTAAATTTATAAAAAAACGGTATTGTCAGATTAGATAAAAATTACAGTAAGTAAAACGAGCCCAATTATTGTAATTTATTTTCTACATAAACTTTAATGATTCAGTTTTAATTTAAAAAAAAAAAAAAAAATCTGAAAATTACTCAATTTATAATTGTTTGCACATTTTTTTTTTCACAAAGCTTAAACAATAATACTGTAAACCAGGGTGGTATTATAAAAATTGTTGATTTGCAAAAAAAGCTTTTTAAATATCTTAACTCTACATGATCCTGTAAAATTGATCTTAAAAATACATTTAATTTGTCTGCTTTTAAATGATAGAAATAAGAAACTCATTACTTTTAATAAATTTAGTTTTTTTCTGATTTCATACTGGCTGCTAAAAGAATAAGTTACAGAATTAAACTTTTATTTTATAGAAGAGAGGACCCCCCCCCCCATTCTGGCTTTGAGGTAGGGGGTGCATATTTTAATTTTGTTAATGTAGATCATCAAATGGCAGGAATAAAATTATGGCCCAGCAGAAAATATTGGCACTTAAACCAATTTATTTATTTCATTTTTGTCTTAAAGAGTGTTACTTTTTCTACATAATTGGTATTCTAATGAAATTTTAAAATGCACTCTTGATGAAAACATGTGACATTAGGAAATGTGACAAAATTACTTTTTATAAGGCATAAATGTTAATTGTATATATTTTTTTATTTTTACATAATGATTGTAAATTATCTGGTTAAAAAAAATAATTTATCTAAAGTTCATATTGATAAATGTTTGTAAATTTTACATTTTTATGTAAAAATTTTGAAATATTTATTTTGGGAATATTCTATATGGTTTTTAATACATTTCATTACTGATTTGTGATCCAGGTTCCTTATAGTTTTACACTAATTTGAAATTAACTTCATTATGTAAACAGTAACCAATAAACTGATTATTGAAAAGAGGATTTATTCATTAATATATTTTATTTACAGATTGTGATGTTGCAGTCATGGAATCCAGCAGTGGTGGCAGTTTTCCAAAAATCATGGTCTTTCGACCAACAATGGAAGAATTCCAAGACTTCAACAAGTACATTGATCATATGGAGTCTCAAGGAGCTCATAAAGCTGGATTAGCTAAAGTAAGTTAATTTTCAACTTTAATATTACTTAAGAGGAAATTGGTTGCAAGTTTTTATTAATTTTTTTCATGGTAAATAGATTGTTTTATGAACATGTAACTTTTTATGAGATATATTGATAGATTTAAATATCTTTCTTACATGATATATAGTAAATCTACTATGAAAGACTGTTTTGGTCCATTATTTGCATTTATTGTATAATTAGCTTCATTGTAATTTTGTAATCCACTTAATCAGATCACCTATATTTGAATTTGGTGTCTAGTCAATTTTGCTTGCAACTCTAATAAAAGGAACATTATTTTTTAAAAAATCATTAATATAGAATTCAAATGATAGCAATTTCTTTTAATGAATTCTGATTATTATTTATTTTAGAAGTTACCATGATTTATTCATACTTTGGTTTTGTTAAAATATTTTGAAGTTTTAATAGTGGTTTAATAACATTTTCTTCTGTAGCATCTTCTTAGGTTAAATAACTACTTTTATTTTAGAATATAAAGTACACGTTTTAAACGGTGTTAAAAAATGTACTGTTAGGTTAAAAAAAACTTCAAATTCCAAAATGCATTACATCAGTTCAAATTATTTTAAGCCTTCATTGCAGTTATGTCAGTTGTGAATTTTTAGCAAGTGTTTAAACAAGTTTTTTAAAAATAGTTGATACTTCCAATGTTTTTTTCTTCTTTGTTATATAATTTATTCTATTCTTTTAGTTTGATGGAATGTTTGATAATTATAATTATTTTATATTATTTAACTGTGAATTAACATATAATCTTAATTGTTTTCTGTATGTATAAAACTTATTCGTTATTATAATAAAGTTGAAATAAAACATTGCTATTCTCTAATATAAATATAATTTAGCATTTTTATGCATTAGAGAAAGCTCTGTAAAGTGTTATTAACATGTGGAAATACTCTTGGCCCAACTAAGATGATTGCCATTTGATGGTTATAGAATGTTGTATTAAGCCTATTATTTATTTTTTTTCTAAAAGTTTTAGTTAATACTAATTCAAATTAATTTTATCAGCACATCAAGCTGTATTTTGTTACTTATAATTTTTTACTTTCTTCTCTCAGGTAATACCTCCTCCAGAATGGACCCCAAGACGGTCAGGTTATGAAAATGTTGATCTCCTCGTTCCAGCCCCAATCACTCAAGTAGTGAGTGGCTGCCAAGGCTTGTACACTCAATATAACATACAGAGGAAAGGTATTCATGTAAAGGAATTTGAGAAACTTGCTAACAGTGATCGGTAAGTAGTCGTTATATTTATTGTAAACACTATCTTTTATGATTTGAAATTCTGTTCACTGTCATTATTTTAATGAATGTTATATTTACTATTGTCATTTTTATTAGTATTTTGCAATAGATTTAGTATTTCTATATGCTTTGCAATTTTAATAAGGTATTGGAAACATATTTTGATATCTAATTTACTGTATATTTGGAAGATATGAATGTAATTTGATTTTTAAATTATAGACATTTGTAAAATAGCTAAATTATATATTGAGGAATGTAATTCTAAATTGACAGTTTTTGAAAGTAATAAATAGGAAATAATTTGTAATTGAGATTTTTTTTTTTAAGTAACTTTAATTTCTGATATAAATTTTTTTTATTTTATGGCTGTATTTAAGGTAGTAATATTTATTGTATGATTCATGATAATATAAAATAGTCTAATTCTCTTGGTGAATATAATTGTTTAGCTTCATTAATTTCATTTTCTTGATTATATTACATTTTGCTATTATTATATTCTTTTTTTTTTTTTTTTTTATAGACATCATACACCCCGTCATGCTGATTATGAAGAACTTGAAAGAAAGTATTGGAAAAATATCACCTTTGTGTCTCCTGTGTATGGAGCAGATATTTCAGGAAGTCTTTATGATGATGATCAAGATTATTGGAATATTAACAGGTTGGGGACAATATTGGATCATGTCAATGAAGACTATGGAATTAAAATTGAAGGTGTTAATACTGCCTATCTTTATTTTGGTATGTGGAAAACTACATTTGCTTGGCATACAGAGGACATGGATTTATACAGCATCAATTACATTCATTATGGAGCCCCAAAATCTTGGTATGCTATCCCACCTGAACATGGAAGAAGACTGGAGCGACTTGCTCAAGGTATGATCACCTTGAGTTTTGTACATGTCCTGTTTAAATATCAAAATGTTAGTTTTAAATTTGTTTTCAAGTGTTAAGCTGGTTTAATAAAAAAAATGGGGGGGGGTTAAGTACAAGAACTATTCATAACATTCTCTTAAATTTTTTTCTTTTTACATTGATTGACACTTTCCAAAATTAATTTATTTTAAAATTTTATCATCTTTAACATAATTTAAATTCAATCTGTGTGCTATTTGCACAACTATAAACCATGTACATTTTGGTAGGATTATGTTTAAGCTATTTAGTAGGCTTTTTTTTTTTTTTTTTATATGACTATCTTCTTTTAGTTGTATTCCGTAAGATATCATGTCTGGTTTAGTTGTGTTCCATACATTTCTTAAAAATACAAAACATTTTGTAAATATAGCTATGTATAACCATCAACAAAAAATGCACTTGGCCTGCTGCTAGTAGTGCTGTTTGAATTTATCATTATCTGAACTAAATTGATTTATTTCTCCCATCATCAGTCAAAAATGGCCTGCAAGGCCACCTGAATACTCATAATTCCGAGCCTGGCTGTCAAAGTGTCAAAATTTAATCAGTTACTGATAAAAGAAAATCATAAATCAATTATTTTTTAGGCTTATTGCTACATAGAAGCTGCCATGTTGTTTAGGATTATTCAATATTGTATACCTCTTTACAGAAAATTGGTATTAAATTTGATTGTAAACAAATGTATATTTGTCCAGCCAAATCTAGCTGTTTGATGTAGAAAGGGTTTTAATAAAATTATACTTGAAAGCTGAATTTTTATTTAATTAAAAAGTAGTTGTAAAAAATTAGCGTTTTATGGTTTAAATAAGTTTTAAAGTTGTCGCATTCATTGTAACATGCATGAACAATTTTCACTATCAAAATTTTAATGTTTATAAACATAATTCAGATATAATTTAAATTTCGACTGAAAATGAAGTACATGTATAATTAGGTACACATGGTTCTAATTTTTTCCTGATTTTCTATAAATTGATACTACATCTATTTTTGACAGTTTTAAATATTACAGAATTCTCAAAGTATATTAAGTAGTACTTGTCTTTGAATGGAAGATTGGTTTCATAATCTGTAAAATATAAACTATATGTGTATAGTTTAATAGGAAAAGCACTATCTAGATAAGATTTTAAGTGATTATTGAAAAATTCCAATTAAAATTATATTACTAAAGTGGAAACTTATTTACTTGCTTTATTTTTCATATGCTGGATCTATTATTACTTTAAGCTTCATTTATTTTTTTTTCTTTTGCAAAAATGTATTAAATTTTTTAAATAATGATTTTACGAAACAATTCAATCCTTACATACAAACATGTGCATATAACTGGAATTTTACGAAGTTGTCATTGGAATATTTCAGTGTTTGGAATTAGGCATGTTTAGGGTATTAAGTGATCAGTATTTTAAATGATTCGTTATTTTTATAAAAGTCAGGATTTAGAAAGAAATTTTCAGATGTATTGTTTAGTTATTAGTCAAAACAATACATGTGGAAATATGACATAATTGACAGAATCTTTTTTCTACATTTGAAAGTATTTCCATGGCAAATATCCTTTCACAAAATTTAATGAGGCTTGTTTTGTATAAACAAAATAGATTTTTACATTTACTCTCCACTTTTTTTTTTTTTTTTTAAACTGATAAAGTAAAAGTTTGAATTTAAGATTAATGTAAATATTGCATGACCAATATGTAAAATGGATCATAAAGTTAATAAAAAGATTTACTTACTTTTTTTAGATGCTACTCTCTAGTTTTAAAAACGTATTTTCTTGATAATGTTATGGTTGATACTTATTGTAAATTTTATTATCATTATTTTTCTAATATGATTTTTTTTTTCTTTTTATTTCAGGTTTCTTCCCTTCAAGTTTTCAAGCCTGCCCTGCATTTCTGCGTCACAAAATGACATTAATATCTCCACATATCTTGAAGAAGTATTCTATTCCTGTGAATAAGGTACATTATTCTTATTTCCCTAATTTCCTTCCATATTATGAAAATACAATGTAATTTGATCTTTTATCAGTTAAAGTATCCATTGATTGCAGCTGGTTATAATAACAAAATGATTTCTTAGTACTTTAATGGGAAGCTGGTAAGACTTGATCACAGTAAAGTTATATATATATAATTCCTGAAAAGTAGTACCATATAATTTCCAATAGCAAATGGATAACTGAGAAATGTCTATTTTTACAATATCTTTGTTATTGTCATTTTCCACATGTGCCAAGGTTAATTTTCTGTGCCATTGATTGGTCATTTATAGTAACTGCGTAATAGTAATTCACTATCGTAAAGGAAAAACAATAGATTTTTATTTCTGGTAAATTTCCAACAAAGAAAACTATGAAAATTAGAATATTTTATGGAAAAATTCTTATATAAAAATTGTTAAAATCTGACACCAAATGTGAGTGTTGTATAAAGAAGACGTTTGCTGTATAGATCAAACAAATTTACAAACATTCTGTTATACAGATGAGATTTGATATCTTAATGAAGCAAAACTGTTATTCCTTCTTTTTTTTTCTTTTTTTTTTTCCTAACTTTTAATCAGTATCACCCTAAGCAAGGCAGTACAGCCACTATCATGCAAGGGGATACAAGGTGTGGAGAAATTAGAAACAGAAACATTATTAATAAGGAAAAAGAGAAAAGAGCAATCGGGAGGGCAGTAGATAGCGATTGACATTGCATTTAAATTTTTGCAGATTAAAGTTGGCTGGAAAACATGGGGCCAGGAGAGAGTTCCACAAGCAAGAAGTGCAGGATACGAAATTTTTAGCATAGAAGTTGTGGTTACATCTAGCTAGCTCAACTGTAAATTGATGAGATCTCACTGCCAATTTAGTATTGCACTTAAATTCATACAATTTAGGTACCATAGCAAAGAGCTCATCCAAACAATTATCATGAAAGTATTTATAAAAATGGCACAGAGGTAACCTTACAGTGGTGAGCAAGTGACTGAACTTAATTTGTTTATGCATTTTCAGAGATGTGATTTTCATTATGTTAATCATACAATCTTTTGTTCAATACAGATTACACAAGAGGCAGGTGAATTCATGATCACTTTCCCCTATGGTTATCACTCAGGATATAATCATGGTTTTAATTGTGCAGAATCTACCAATTTTGCTACACCTCGGTGGATTGAATATGGAAAGCGATGTTTACAGGTAACTATTAGGCTAGCAGAAAGTTTTCTTTTTAATTATTGTTTCTGCTAATGTTGGAATGCATATGTTCTCATTTATATTTGTCAGTAAGGTACCTAAATTTTATCAGATTTTGTATTACTTTTTGCATCAAATTAGTTACATAACAAATTCATTTTTAGAAGCATCTGGTCGCAGACTTCTTAAACTTGATTGCACAAGCAAAGTATAATGATCTGTGGTGATTACATTCATCATAAAATACTACCAGAAAGATGAATTTTCATTTAAAATTTTAACAACTTGTGGTGGTGTGTGTGTGTTAATTTTGCATAATTATTGAAATTTAGTTTGTGGAGGTTAAAGAATGAAAAAAACTGCAAGCAGTAATGGTATTGTAAAAACTGTCTTTTTAAAAAGTGAACTCCCTATTTCTTAATATATTAAGAATTATTTCTTAATGCTTCATCTGTCAAAAATGCAGTACTGTATAAATAGGTAAAATTGATATTTAACTTTTTTAATCTGAGAAACATTTTAAAATGCAAATTAAACTGGATAATTCATTGCCTTCTCTTTTTTTTTTTTTCTTTTAATAGTGGCAGTTAATTAGAGACTAACACTCAAGTTAAATTACTTTAAAGAGTTTTTTTTTTATTTTTTATTTTTTTTTTTTATGGGTCAGTAGGCGACTTTATTTTGTTTATTCTAAAATAGATCTTTTCTTTACTTTAGTGTACTTGCCGGAAAGATGGTGTGAAAATCAGCATGGATACATTTGTTCGTAGATTCCAGCCAGAACGTTATGAACTCTGGAAAAAAGGCAAGGATATTGGGCCCCATCCTGAGGATCATACAAGAGTAACACATTCAAGGCAAAGGTCAGCCATCCTTATTTATTATCTCATTTTAGAATCCTTTTTCTTTTTTTTTCTGATTTTATTACTGTATGTTTTCTTTTTCTTTCTCTTTATATATAATAAATATTTGAATCCATGCTTTGATATACATTCATTGATTACAAAAAATATACCATTTAGTTTCTCTTTCTACACAGTCATACAATCAATCACTGCTTAAATGGACTGAAACCTTTAAGATGACTCCTCGTTATAATGGAGAATTTTTTTTTTTAATTTCAGATTTAAAGAAATGGAAAATATTACTTTAAATGAAATTAACCCGTAACTGAAATAAAAATTTAAGTTCATCTCTGCATTTCTATTCTGACCCATTTCAAAAGCATGTTCTATAATTTTATAGGAAAACAAAATTTTGCAAAATGTTCATAAATTCCACATATCTGATTCATTATTGTAGTGGATTTCAAAACAACTTTCTCCATAACATTAATAAGCTTTCCTATTTTGTAGATGACAAATATGAAATAATCAAATCAATCAAATCTCATTAATATTTCATAAAATCAAACTTATTCTTTTTTATTTGTCTGCTATACAAATATTTTCAACATTCACACTTGCAAACATAGTGCTTAAAGTGCTTTATGGGTGGGGGGGAATATTAATGAAAAAAGAATTAAAAACAAAACCTTATTTTGCTTGAAGATAAATGTGTTTTAGTGTATTAAAAATTTTAAGTTTAATTTAGTATTAACCTTGAAGCAATAATTTATTATAATTACTTTTTTATGTGCAGTTATTTGTCACTTTTTATTTGTTCATCTCAATTCCAGTGGGGACAAAAGAACAGCCTTTGAAGCTAATAGTTCTGGAACAGTGTCCACAAAAAGGCATCCAGTCACTAAACTTGAGAACATGAAAAAGAGGGGTCGTCCTCCTGGCAAAAAAGAGAAGGACATACTTTGGAAAGAGATAACTGAAGAAGAGATTCGACAGGCCATGTCTGAAACTGCCGAAGAACCTGTGGGTCTAAAAATGGAAGAAGAGCTACCAGTTGATAATTGCTGTAATCCTACAAAAAAGAAGACAATTCGAAAAAAGAAGGATGGTTCAGTTGATGGAGAGGAAACAGATATTGAAGAGAAACCACCTAAAGTGCGCAAGAAAAAAGTAAAAATGGAAATTTCACCTGGTTTAATACCAACTATGGAAACAGGCACACAATCAGAAATGCAGTCTAGCCATACCCCTTGTAAATGTGCCCAACAATGTACACACAGTGGCAACTTCAAGCAGCAACAGTCATGTACTTATTCTGGCTCTAAAATAAATATCTGTCCTGGTGCTAACCAGGACAGATATGCTGGACATATGGACATGAAGCAGGGTCAACAAATTAGCCCTAAGATGAAACAAGGTCACTATGCTAACATGAAACAGGTTCTGAATACAAATTCAAAACAAAATGCACAAACTTGTTTTCAGCTTTGCACACAAACTGGCTTAAAACAGGAACAGAAACAACAAAACCAAGTTGGTTTAACGTCATGCTCACATTCGAGTTACAAACAAAATATGCAAATCAGTTTGCCATCATGTACAGAGTGCAGTTTATCATCGAACACACAGTGCAATTTAACATCAACTTCCCAATGTTGTTTATCATCAAGTCCTCAGTGTTGTCTACAATCAAATGCACAATGTAATATGCCATCAAGCTCACAGTGCAGCTTATCAAATGTACCATGTAGCTTAATGAGTGCACAAAGCAGTTTATCACAAAACAAACTGAATGGAAAACCACCCACTTGTCATCGTACAGATATGCAAGCTGAGTTTTGTGATGGTCTCTCAAAATTTATGCCTCTTAATGTGAACACAGAAGGTGAGGTTAAGAAGAAAGTGAAACGGGTTCGAAAGAAGAAAGTCCCATTGGATGGTGTTGACAATGGCAGTATGAAACCACTTGCTAAAAAGACTCAGGGGACAATGCATTCTCCAATCCTGGCCAATGGTAGCCTGCCAGAAAATGGGGAAGAACCTTTGCAGAAAAAAATGAAGCAAGAAGATGTGCAGCAACAGTGTTTTACATCAGCAGCTGGCACAATGACACAAACAAAGACCTGCACATTTTTCAATGGCACATCAACAACCAATACAACATCGGCCACCTCCGGATCTTCTCAAACAAGTATTAATTTTATCCCATTAAGCAATATTCAAACCCGTCATATAAACCAGAACAAGAAACCTTCAGAATCAGCAAACTGCAGCCATCAGCCATTTGCCCAGGTAGGTGCCCAGCCAAGTTTTAGCTCCCTTTGTTTAAAAGCTGAAGGAGACAAACAATTCTTTGAGGGGAAAATGTCATCAAATCTGGTTTCTCCTACTCCTAGCCAATCAGTGCATAATGTACATGCTAATAAGAAATCTGGTACCTCCAATTTAGAGTATTATGCCAAGTCACAAGAAGGGTTCATCTTAAAATCTCCCAATCATCAAACTGAATCTGTTATATACTCTTCTCCAAATCAAAATAATCCTGAATCACATTCTGGGCATGAAATGTGTTGTTCTGCTGATATTGCTTGTGATTGCAATTATTCTAGTGATGCAAATAGCACCAGTATGCCACAGCAACAGCATTATACAGAACTTACCCCCTGTACAGTTAATGAACCTACTAATGTAGCTACAACTGTTCCGCACAGCAAACTTTACTCCAATCCTAGTTTTACTGAGTCAGGGCCAGAACTAATCAAGCTAGCTCATGATATCCTTCATAACTCATCAGAACCCCAAACACAACGGTTTGCCCCAAATACTACAAATAGTGTGCAGCAGGTACAGACTGACTCAGGTAAAAACACTTGTACTGTTATCAGAGTCCCTTCTATGTCAACAGGTGGCAGACAAAATTTGAAGTCTCCACTTCTTGTCATTTCTCCTAATGCCAGGGGACAGATGATGACAAATCAGATCATGGTCGATACAACTCCTACTATCATTAATAATAATAATAATAATAATTTAACTGGAGACTCTAAAATGCCACATTTATCACCCCAAATACAAGCTCAGTTTACCCCAGAACAAGCAGCCCATGTCAATGTTATTAACCAAGGATCTGCTTCTTTATCTATGCCTAAACTGACAGCTGAGGTTTCACAGGCTAGTTTATATGCAGCAAATCATGCAGGGACAATATCAAAAACAATAGTGATGCCTTCAGATCATGTCAGAACAATGAATGAAAAAAATCAGTTAAAAAAATGTACTCAGGCCTATCAGCAGAGTTCTGGTTCTATTATTGGCAGTAAAAGAAAGAATAAGCTTACTTATGTTCAAGTAACTCCTACAAATAATGCTTCCGTAACTCCGCAAATGGTTGTTCTTCAAAGTGGGCAAGGTGAATCTGTTAATTTTGCTAATATGACTCCTGGAAACAGTCAAAGAAACACAGTAAATCCACAGTCACTGTTAACAGGAAAGAAACTGAGTCCAATTCCTGCATCAACTGCCATAACAAAAGCAATCACTTCAAATGCTCAATCAATTCTTAATGTTGGCACTGGTAAAACTGAAGGAACTTTCTCAACACAAAATGTTTCTTCTTTCTCTTCTGCAGTGATTGCTTCACAAAGGAATGGAACAAATGTGATGGCTAATCAGATACAAACCACTAACAATGCCTCCTATCTAAATCTAGGACTTGCTAATACACCTAATATTGTCACAAATGTTGCACAGTATGACAACCAATCTTTAATTGTTTCACAACCAATCAGTGAGGTAGCATCCGCATCAGTGGGAATGCAGGCAACTGGAAATATGTTTGAAGTGCAGAACCAATCCTTAGTTGGTATCAATACAAATATGTGTAACATCTCGTCATCCGGTGCACAGCAAATGTATAGTAATATATCCTTAATCACTTCAAAACCTGGTCGAGCCCAAACAGCTGTTGTCAGTTCACCAATGTCTGTGTGTGGCTCAATTCCCTCCATTGGAATCAAGCCATGCCAGCCAAACCGAACTTGTCAGTTGAAGGATCTTAACAGTGGAACAACTGTTGAACCTTTGTCCTCTGCTCCTCTCACTCACATTATCAACCAAGATGGTCAGGTTGGTCAAACTCAGTTTGTCTTACAAGGTGTGCGCCAAATCCAACCTGTGGTTCAACAAATTCAGTCGGGAGCCCGCTTAAAGGTTCAAAATTTCTCCCCTGTTACAGTAGATAATGGTCAGGTGCCTAATAGTAATATGGCAATGGCAAGTCCTGCTAACAACCAACATTTTGTCAGTTCAACAATAACTCCTGCCAGCAAGGTTAACTCTGCCATGGCTGCAGTTCATAAAAAATCCAAAACCCCACAAATAGCATCTCAGCGTTTGCCTTCTGTTCAGAAATCCAACCATCCTACCATGCAACCATTATCCTCACCTAATACATCCACTAAGTTTAACTTCACTGGTTATCCAACCAGCATATCTAGTCCTGAAAATTGCAATAACATGCAGTCTATTTCCTCTGAACTAAACCTGGAGACACCAAACACCACCCTATGCTCTGCTGCCAACAGTACATTTACTGGTAGTTTGGGCAGTGGCTCACTGTCATCTCCAAACTTTCAGACCAACTTGAAAAAATCTCCATCAGCTGTAGTAGCTGAGGCTTTGCCAATTCCCTCGCTCAGTGCAGACACGTTGACTGCTTGTATGGGACTGACAGGCACCAACAATTTCAGCATTCTTGGTAAGGGTATGTGGCAGAGTACATATGTTCAGAGTAATGAAAGCTCTGAGGGCTCGGACAGTGACCAGCGCTCAAAGCTGACCCTCACTCCAAAACCCCTACAAATCTCACCCAAAGGTACACAGCCTGCCTCTAAAAAAGAAAAGAAGACATACAAAAAGAAAACTGAGTCATCTGGAGCAAGTCCAGAAATTACACCACAGGTAAGCTTTTGGGAAAACTTTGGAAAATGGATGTGACAAAACAATTTTAAAAAAAAGATTATGTTTCTATTTATATGAAAACTGAGTGTTCTTATATTGAGTAAAGAGTGAATTTTTCTCCTTATTTCCTGATATTCCTTTTATGTTTTGATTCAATTTTTAATTTAGTGCATTAATCTATACACAGAATCCTACAAGCAAGACAATAAATAATTAATCTTGGAAAATGTTCTCTTTGAAAAAAAAAATTGTCATTGTCATTATTGACTTTACTGGACTGAGTTACCTGATTGAGTTCCAATTCTATGTTTAATAAAAAGGTTTGAGGAAATAACTAAAAATGTTATGTTTTATAGTATAGTAACAAGAGATTACAAAAATAATTCTAGTTTTAATTTTGGATAATGTAAGTTTTGGAAATTGTGTGCTACACACCTACAAACCTTTTTATTAAGCTTAGATTTAAGTTGTTGAAATGTTTTTTTTTGTTTTGTTTTGTTTTTTGTCGGGGGAACTTACATTCCAGTTAAGTTAATATTGGGCAGTGCCATTAATTAAAACAAATAACTTGCCAAATACGGGTAACTTGACAACTGACCAATTTATATAACCCTTTGTTGTAAATGTTGACTTTTTGAGAGTGCCAGATTAGAATTTAAAATAAATTAAGGATATCTAAAATATAAATATGTACTTATTTTATATGGAAGATGCATATTGTTTTATATTTTTATATATATATATATCACACACACATGATAACCAAAAAGTAGTCTTTGCTGTTTTTTTTTTTTTATTTTTTTTTTTTTTTATTCATTAGCCAAAAAAAAGGTATACAGCAAATCTGACATAACGTTAGTCCTCAAAGTAATCTCCATTGGAATCTGGAACCTTTTGCCAAAGTGTCTCCAACTGTGCAATGCCCTTGCAGTAAAAATCTGGTGTCTTGGGCGTAAAGAAGTCTGTGAGCACCTGCTGCAAGTCTGCCTCATTTGTGAAAGATTTCCCACGAAGGTGGTTGTCTAGGGAATGGAAGAGGTGGTGATCTGTTGGCACAAGGTTGATGGTGCAGTGTTTCCCAGGCAAGTTGCTGTTTGGTATCCTTGGCCACCATGCCATATGAGGCTTAGCATTGTCATGGAGGGACAATACACTCTTGCAATTAATCAGTGCCGGTTCCTTCTGCTTCAATACCTGTCACACATGTTCCAACAGTTGTGAGTACAAGTTCGCTGTGATGGTTTGGCCCATTGGTAGCAGCTCATAGTGTTTGTCAACTAGTCAACCAGATACATAGCTTGGTCTTGCAAGAGTGTAGAGGTGGTCTTGTGGTGACAACCAATATCTAAAAGTGTCATACAGGACCAGCTTTTTGTCATTGGTGAACATTCAATTAAATATGAATATGTTGTGGTGACGAGAAAGCAATAAGAAACAGGCTGTCACACCTTATTGCTTGTTGGCTTCCAAAAATGTGTGGGGTACCTACTTGCTCAATTTGTTTGCCTTCCTTATGCAGTGCACATAAAGTCTATTTCATCAGAAACCAACTTCCTATATGGCTGCCTTCAGGGCTTTATCATCCATGACCTGTAGCTGGCCACTGTTGTTCACCACAAAGGAACAGATCTGAACTTCTGGAACCAATACCTGGCAGTGCATTCACTCACAGCATTATTCTCAAACGCTTGACATATTTGGCGATTTGATGTAACTACGGACAAGCCCACCTTAAAGTCATAAAGCAGACAACCCCAAACAAGCTGCTTTGACACTTCCATGTTTCCTCACTGCTGCCCAAACTAGGACTGATATGTGTGCATGCGTGCAACACACCTGCATTGATCAAGAGTAATGCCCCCCCCCCTTTCCCAGCATGTGACACCCTCATTTGCATATCAGTGATCACTTCTCCCCACACAACGTGAAAAACGGCAAGGACATTTTGGTTACTTTATATATATATATATATATATATATATATATATATGCATAACTTACATATAAAATATATATATACAATATATATATATATATATATATAGGCGCCTCTACTAATTTACTATAAAAATTAGCATACCATGATAAAATATACCAAACTCGTTAAAACTTTATTTTTATTAAGTTTGGGGCATTTTTTTAAGGTTTTTTTTTTTTTTATAGAATGTTCAAAAATTTGGCCACAAAAATAATTGGCTGATTTTAATGATACTTTCAGGACTTTGAATATTTTTATTTATTTTTATTTTATTTATTTATTTTTTTATTTTTTTTACATCTGTTAACCCCCCCCACACACACACACATGTGCATGCACGTGCATTTACACTTATTTCATTTTGGGAAATTTCAAGAAATTAAATTTTGTCCTGCTTAATGTTTATATTAGTAAAAAGCAGAACACCTTGGAGAATTTAAATCAGTTTCTTTTTTTGTAAAACATTACCACAAGTTACTTTGTATCGGAAAATAAAAATGCAATAAAACAGACATTATTTAATTAGAAAAACTTTTAATTGCTTTTAAGATTATATTGGGCACTATTGTTTTTAGAATTTTGTTTTTTTTTTTTGTTTTTACTGAATAATGAATTTTTGCAAGAATTGTGTACATTTTTTTTAATTTTAATTACAATAATGTATAAAGTTTAAAATTTTAAATTTCTGTATTATCTCGGTTAGGTGTTATTAAGTAAAAACTATATTTACTAATCATAAATGGAAAAGCTTAGTACAGTTCATTGACCACCAATATTTTTTTTTAAATTTAAAATTTTTATTTTGTTTTAGTGTATAAACGGTCAGATTTTTGTAAATACAGATGACTATACACGACATTATCAGAAAATAAGAGTGATGATAGTAAATTCAATCAACATTAGATTATAGAGAATATTTTCCTAAATTTTTAAGATTACTTCAGAGTTAAAAATTATATAGAAAAAGGTGCACACATTATATTTCTCAAGTAAATTTTGCAGATAATTCCACTGTAGGAAAAAATTAGGTAAACTTTAATCTGTCAGTCAACCTGTTAACACCTTAAATATAAAGCTACCTCCATATTAAAAATGGCATTTCTGCGATATTTTAAACTAAAAGTAATAGTTGTTTTGAATCAGATTAAACTTTAAATCAGCAAATATTTATACAATAAAGTTTCAAAAGTATATTTTCTTTTTCAAAGTTTTTTTTTTAATAAAGAGAATTACATTGTGATGAAAGTAACCTAAAAATGGCACTAAAATTAACAATTTTAGCAGTTTCAAAACTCCTTCCAGTCAATTTAAATTAGGTTTGAAATACAAAAAAATCATTTTGCTTATTGTAAATATTAAATTTAATGTATTAGGTTGAAATTAAAGCTAAAATAAGTGTCAGGGAAGATTTTTCATTTTAAAAATTCATTTTAAACCATAGGTATTGCAAATCTGTGGAGGTACCTACATGTGTATGTATGTGCGCGTGTCTCTCTTATACCTATATCGATCTATCTTATATAAATGTGTGTGTATATATCTCTCTCTATATATATATATATATATATATATATATATATATATATATATATATATATATATATATATATATTGTGTGTCTATATTTATCGTGTGTGTGTATATCTCATATATATATATTATCTGAACGAAATTAAATGGGATCAAATATGGATCAGAATGATAGGGTAAGGAACAAATAGCAAATGTTTATAAATCTAACATGTCTCACTTTTATTAAAGCTTCATCCAAGAATGAAATATGGGGAAAAAGAAAGAAAAACTTCTAGTATTTTTAATGTTTGTGTTTGCTTTTCATTGGTTAGGTAGTCTTCACGTGTATTTATCTTTCTCTGGTGAAGCTTTAATAAAACTGAAAGAGATTATATTCATAAGTGTTTCCTATTTGTTCTTTGTTATATATATACACACACACACACACACACACTGAAAATAGTTTTCAAATTGCTAGCACACTCTAAGAGAAACCAAATTTATTTTTTCAAACTGGAATGCATATTGATTAAAATCTACCTTCAATTATTCATTCACTCCCAATATTCATAAACTGCATATAGATTTCTGCAAATGGCTAGTTGCCATAAGAATCTGCAATTTGGCCTTCATTATTTTTTTTTCATAATTTATTTTAAGATCAGAAATAGATCTTTAAAGCAATCACTTAAAACTATATTTCTTTCTTTTTACTTATAAATATAAGTTTATGCAGTTCTTAACAAATCATATGAAATTATTTTTTTTAATCCTCCATTTCCAAACTATTGGCATATAATCAATTTCTGTATGTTGCCTATCTGATCCATTTTTCAGAATTTAAATAGTTCATTTCAAAGTTCATAACATTTTGAGTTTTCATTACAGATTTCAGGGTTAAATAAAATTGAATATAAATAAAATTGAAAGGAACTAGTCATCTAATCATGTTACCATCTGTTAGTGCCAACAATCAACCTCAAACAAATTAATCCAATTTTATTTTTCAAGCCTTCAAGTGTTTGGAAATAGTTCCTTTTTTTTTTTCTGAATGGATAGTTAGTCTGGCTTGTCAAAAGTGCCCAATGAATTATGAATGGATACGCCTATCACCATCTTTTTTCTGTGTTACTGTGGCAATATACTTTTGGTACAGCATCAAGAATTCTCAAAATACAAATATGAACTATGCTGCTTAACTTCAGTGATCATGCAAGAATTAGTGTTTTACACATGTTGAACAAATTGAATAAATGCAATAGAAAATCATCAAATGCAAATTGGTTAAATATAAATAGCTATAGGATTCATTTCAGATATTAGCAAAAAACTGATTTTAATTATATAAAATAGGAATTGTGTATGTGTATAACCACTCCTTAATCTGGTACCATTTTACAAGTTTCAGATTTAAAGAAGACATGATTATAAAAAAGGCAAATATATAAGCAGCTACTAATATTCTATTGATAAAAATACATCCAAATAAAAAAAATATATTAGTTTAATA